GTCTTCTCTGCCTGTCGTTGCGGACCCTGAGTCTGACCGGTTTCGTGCTGAGCACCCTACTGTCACGCGTCTGCTAGCCACTGTTGTCACTGACCCGTCGTTTGAGTCTACTGCTGCGTCTGCCTTTGTCGCTGAGCTGGTTGACTTTGCTGCTGCATGTCGTCTAGACTACGCTGCTAGTCTTGTTGCTGAGTCTGAGCCTGTCTGTCCTCCGTCCGTCGGGGGTGAGTGTGCTCTTGGCACGGACGTCCTTGAGGACAGGCAGGAGGACCTTGAGTGTCTTGCCGACGCTGCGCCTCATCTCGTGGCCATGCTGCTTGCCCCTGAGGGAGACCCGGATGCACCAGACATCCCGACCCCGCGCTCTTACGCTGAGGCGATCGCGGGTGAGTACTCCTCTCAGTGGCAGACAGCCATGGACGCAGAGATGGCATCCTGGAAGTCCACAGGCACGTACGTCGACGAGGTTCCCCCTCCTGGGGCGAACATCGTCAGTGGCATGTGGATTTTCAGGGTGAAGCGGCCGCCAGGTTCTCCGCCTGTCTTCAAGGCTCGTTGCGTTGCTCGAGGTTTCAGTCAGCGAGAGGGAGTTGACTTCTTCCAGACTTTCTCCCCCACCCCGAAGATGACCACTCTTCGGGTGCTGCTGCACGTTGCCGCTCAGCGTGACTACGAGCTTCACTCGCTTGACTTCAGCACAGCTTTCTTACAGGGCAGCCTGCACGAGGAGATCTGGCTGCGCCGCCCACCCGGCTTCACTGGGTCGTTCCCTCCTGGTACCCAGTGGAGCCTCCGGCGGCCGGTCTACGGTCTCCGCCAGGCGCCACGTGAGTGGCACGACACACTGAGGACGACACTTGCGGCTCTTGGGTTTGCTCCTTCGACTGCTGACCCGTCGCTGTTTCTGCGCACCGACACTTCGCTGCCGCCGTTCTACATCCTCGTGTACGTCGACGACTTGGTCTTTGCCACTGCTGACACTGAGACTCTCGCCCTGGTGAAGTCGGAGCTGCAGAAGAGACACACGTGCACAGACCTGGGTGAGCTGCGCAGCTACCTTGGCTTGCAGATCACCCAGGACAGAGCACGCCGCACCATCACACTGACTCAGTCACACATGGTGCAGCAGGTCCTTCAGCGCTTCGGCTTCACCTGGTCCTCAGCACAGCACACTCCTCTGGCTACAGGTCACTTGCTCTCAGCTCCACCTTCGGACGACTCCGTAGAGCCGAGTGGTCCTTACCCAGAGCTAGTGGGATGCCTCATGTACCTGATGACCTGCACTCGTCCTGACCTTGCGTACCCTCTTGGCCTTCTAGCTCGCTACGTGGCTCCTGGTCGGCACCGAAAGGTGCACATGGATGCTGCTAAGAGGGTACTGCGCTACTTGTGCAGTACATCGGGCATGGGGCTCGTGCTTGTTGGGTGAAGTCCAGTTGTCCTCACTGGGCACTCAGACGCTTCTTGGGTTGACGACCAGGCTACACAGCGGTCGTCACAGGGTTACACGTTCAGCCTTGGCTCCGGCTCTGTTTCTTGGCGGTCTACACGCTCGTCTTCTGTTCTCAGCTCCAGTTGTGAGGCTGAGATCTACGCCACAGCCATGGCTGCACAGGAGTTACGTTGGCTCACCTACCTGCTGACCGACCTGGGAGAGCGGCCTCGTTCTCCTCCAGTTCTGTACGTAGACAACAAGGCCGCCATTGCCTTGTGTCAGGAGCACAGACTGGAGCACAGAACGAAGCACATCGCTCTGCATTACTTCCTGGCTCGAGAGTTGCAGCAGCGGGGTCAGCTTCGCCTTGCTCACGTGGCCACTCGGGCCAACACTGCTGATATATTCACCAAGGCACTTCCGTCTGGTGACCATCAGCGCTTTTGTAATTTGTTGGGCCTTGTTCCTACGTTTCCACACTTGCTGTAGCCTCTGCTTGTACTGTGATCTATATATATATACCTGCATGCTTGCTCTTGCTAGCTAGAGATCACTGTACTGTTCTTGTTGCTTATATACCTCTGCATGTGGACTGGCCTTGTGGCCGTTTGCTTGTGCTCAGTGCGTGTGGTGACGTTGTGATCCACCCTGAGCTGTGTTTTGTTTCTTCTCTTGACTGGTCTTGTGACCGTTGCTTGCTCTGGCTATCCCCCATTTCGCCTATGGGGGTGTGTCAAAACATATGCATATCATTGTCTAGGCTATATTGGGGCTAGCCTTAGGGGGTACAGAAAGTTTCTCGACACTCTAGTCTTGTACCCCAACCTTGACCTAATCTCATTCATCCTTGCCTTAGTTCTTAACATTCTATTTGCTTAGAGTACCGTATGCATCCAAATTATCATCTGGCTGTCATGCATGCAACTGTTCGTTAGTTCACTGGCGGTGGTATCAGGCCTCACGTTATCAGAGTAAATTACTCTGTTTCTATGAAAATCAGAGTTATTTTTTAGAGGAACTCTGTACCTGCTGGGTTATGATTTTGGTTGTTGTGTTTTCTCTGATGTATCAGAGTTTAGGTATAGGTCACTCTGAGGCCCCTGGGTTTTTTTTCTAAGGATAGAGTTTACTCTGTACAGGGGATACAGTCCCCCTAGCCGAACCACCCCCCCCCCCCCCTTTCCCCAGTTACCGGGGTTTCCCCGAGTCGCCGAGCACTTCATCAAGATTCGATTCGTGTGTTGGCGGCATTTTGCGCGCTGATTGGCTGGAGTGGCAATTTTCCCAGCCAGCGCACATTGTTAGCCACATCCACTGTTCTTCGTCGGATGTGTGGTGGCAACACATCTGAACTTCAGTCAGGATCGAGGAATGATACAGCGCACGGAAGGTGTAAACGTGGGCGACGCGGCCAAGCCCTGCTAGTGCTCGGCTAGCTCACGGGGGGTGAACCCCTGTTTCTCCATCCATTTCCTAAATCCGTGATCAGGCACCTTGCGTTGCATACCGAGCATCACGACCACGCCTCAAGCCACCCTTTTCCTGCAGCCTTGCCACAGATGGCTAACGACGCAGACAACGCTGACACTGCTGCGCCTGATCCTGATCCCGGCCCGTCCTGCAGCTCTCGCCCTATCACAAGTCTGGAGTTTCTGCGCGGGGTACATCGTTCCCACGAGCACGAAGGCGAGCAGCAAGCTGACGGTGGTGACGACTGGGGAGGCGATGATTGGTATCGTCGGGATGGACTGGATGACGAAGAGCATTCCGACGGAGTCGAGGTGTGGGTGCGATCGCCACGCCAAGAAGATGAAGACCACGACGGACGGAACGTGGTGTGCGATGGATCGCACCACCCAAGCATCGCTGAACCGGCCGAGACAACACCAACACAGGTCGTGGATGCGTCCGTGCCAGACTCGACCGCCTCACAGACGCCGAAGAAGCGGCGCTTCACGCAGTCCGTGCTCGGGGTTGGACTGCAGCCCGTTAAGCCTGCACCGACTCCGCCGCCACCTGCCAAAAAAACACCACCTGTAGTCCGACTCACCGCACAGGAGAAGAAGGAGAAGTTGTATTTGAAGGCCTTGAAAAGCTACACGGCGGACTGGCTTCCGCGGTTCCCATGGTTAATCCTTGATAAATCGACTGACGGTTTTCCTTGTGTTCGCTGCAGTGTCTGTATAGAGCACGGGAAGGACGATGCTCGCTACGGCCACAATGGGAAAGGAGGTCGGGACCTCCAGATTGGGTCCTTTCGCTAGCACGAGGAGAGCGTGAAGCACGACGATGCTATGAAGAAGCAGATGGGACTGATGAAGAACATCGAGGAGCAGAAACGCACCGACGACTTCGCGAAGGGCGATCCGGAGGGCGCGCGGATTTCACGGCTAATGCGGAGCATCGTGTTTGTGTGCAAGACGGACACGCCGATTCAGATGTACCCCAGGCTCGTGCAGTTTCTTGCTGAGGAGGGCGTCGCCGACATACCGCGACAGTCTTACGGCGTGTACATCACACAGTGAGTCCCACTTGATGTTGAACCCCGTACTCCTTGTTCCTTCATTTTTTAAATATGCACTAACAACGAACCATTGGTTGTGGCCAGGTACGGCTTTTCAGAAATGGTTAAGGCTTTAACCACTTTCCTTCACCGCGAGCAAATGCGACACGTGCATGCGTCGCCATACATTGGCATCATGTGCGACGAAAGCACAGACCGCGCTCGTGGCAAACACATGATTGTGTTTGTCACTTTCCTGAAGGACCGCGTGGTGGTAACGGAGTTCCTGACGCTCCTTACCGTCACTCAGTGTGACGCGGCCTCGCTGCATGCCGTTCTGCTCCAGCATCTGGAGACCATCGGCATCGACCTTCAGAAAATTGTTGGGATGTCAACAGACGGCGCCTCTGTCATGGTCGGATCGGAAACTGGGCTTGTGACGCGCCTTCGCATGCAGATTTCGCATCTCGTCGGGTGCCACTGCATCGCGCACATGTGAGTTCCGTAATGTTTTATGGTAATTCAAGACGGTAAAACATATTTCTGAGTATTTGTGATTTTCTGTTTGTGGTTTACGTTTCCTACTTTGCATCCTCCTGTTCCTTACCGTGCAGAGAAGTGTTAGCGGTCAAGAATGCTGCTGAGGCCTATCCAGACTTCAACATCGTGGACCATGCCATCAGGGCCCTCCGTGCGATCGTCGGGAAGTCAACTCCCTGGTACGGGCGGTTCAAGGAGTTGCAGCTGGTTTACCACAAGACCAATCTGGAGCACCAGGGGCTCCACAACGTGCGCTGGCTGTCACGGGGCGAGGCAGTGCTGCGGATGTGCCGGGTTCTTGGGGCGGCGATCTGCGTCTTCATCGAGTACGGGCACAAGATAGCCAGCACCATGCAGACCTTGAAGTTTCACTTCTGCATTTATTTTCTGGCAGACATCTTAGCCGAGCTCAACAATCTGAACCGGTTTTTCCAGAGGCGAAAGGTAATGTTATGCAGTATTGCGTTGCTGTTTTCCTCTTCTGCCCGGTGGTTTGCAAGTTTGTTGACTCTGTTTTGTGAAATGATTAGGTTTGGCTGTACTCAAACCCTCCCGCCCTCCGCCCAGGTGGACGTCACCATCGTGACGCAGGAGGTGGACCGCACGGTGTCGTACATTCAACACCGCTACATCGACTACGAGAAGAAGTTCGGGGAGGGCCTGAGCCCACAGCTGTCGCCTTTCCTGGAGCGCCACAAGGATGGCAAACGTGAGCTGAAAGTGGAGGGCGTGGACTCCAGCGGCCGCGCAGTGAGCCAGAAGATTGTGCTAAGCGAGGCGCCCATCGATGGCCACAAGTTTGGCGGAACCATGCGCGACTGCGAGAAGATGTGCAAGGCATTCGCCAAGCTGACCGTCCAGAATCTCACCGAGCGGATGGCGGATCTTCGTCGCATGGGCGGAACGAGGCTGTTCAAGGTGGAATCGTGGCCCCCCAAGCAAGACACACGCGAGAGGCGCTGTGTCATGTGGCTTCGGCAAAACTCTATACTGTTCAACAACTGTCTGCCCGGTGAGAATAAAGAACACTTTGTCAGTTTGCGCATGCCTGGTGTTGTTTGGCTAAGCTCTGCGATTTGTAATTTATTATTGTTAACAAACCCAAATTTTCCATGCGCGCAGGTTTCGACTTGCGGGCAGCAGAGCTCGAGCTGAAGACGTTCTGTCACATCCTCAAGAACCACCACGAGGACGAGGACTTTCATCAGGGGCTCCAGAACATGCTGAAGACGCGCGACTGGGCTCGCACGTACCCCAACCTGATGCTGATGTGGCAGACGTTGTCCGTGCTACCGCTCAGCACTGTTGAGTGCGAACGTGGGTTCAGCAGGCAGAATGTCATCAAGAGCTGGATACGCACGTCACTCAACGACGCCCGTCTGACAGAGCTGATGAGCATCCACATGCTCCAGTACGACTTCATGTGGCATGAAGTCGTTGACATCTGGCGCAATCAGAAGAAGCGTCGCCCCGCCAAGAAACCAGCGCACGGCGCACCAGCTTGCGCAAGGGGGAAGGAGCAGATCGAGTCTGATGCGGAATCGGAGGGCGAGCATGACTATTAGTGAAGCCCAAGGGCCTAATTTTTATTAGTTAGGATTTTAAATAGTTCATTAAATTATGAGACACCGTTAAAAATACACTTGGTGACTGAACTGAACCGTGTGTGAGTGACATCAAAACGCAAAACAGTTTTAACAAAACTCCCATACTTTTCACACAACATTGTAAACTACGATCAGAGTAAAACAAAAAAATACTCTGACGTGCCAGGGTTTTTTATCCACGTAATAGGGTTACTCTGTCAGATCAGAGTAAGGCGTAGGAACCACTCTAGATTTCAGAGTTCGCATATTTACTACTCTGAAAATCAGAGTGCCCAAAAACCAAAAGAAGGCCCTGGGTGGTATACAAATGGAGGAGATAACGGTAGCCATCCATTCTAAAGACCAAGTTAGGGATGCAAATCAGGCCCCAAAAGGGTGACTATGGTACCAGTAACTCCAATAAAACAACACCGTATAGAAAGTTGAACTTACAATGATGCACAGCGGCAGCTAAGCGGATAAACCCCCCAAAGTGCACCGACCCGCCACCCTTATTTTCAGAGCGGTTTAGACTGCTTCGGTACGGTATATCCAAGAGGACTTGGCATAATCATCTTAATGACGGAAGTTTCGCGTATAGCACGTGTTAAATCAATCATGTTACAAGTGAGCATGGCATGTGGACAAGCCCAGAGACCTGCAAATGCGATAAACACGAGGGAAAAACACGCACAGGAGCGGGAGGAAGGTGGATGATTAAGAAGGTGCATGATTAAGAAGGTGGAAGGGGATGCACTGCTATTCCACATTGCAGCCATTTCCAGGCGGCTCACAATCTGCTACTCACTCGGCTTGGACAACCAATGCGGATGCACCGCCACAACCGTTGCACACAGCAGCCAATCCCAGGCAGCTAGATATGAACCAGCAATCAAGTATTCTCATAAACTGGTACTCACTCGGCTTGGACGACAAGGGCAGAAGCGCCGCCGCCACCGTTGCACACAGCGGCCACTCCCAGGCAGCTAAACATAACTCAGCAGTCAAGTATTCTCAGAAATTGCTACTCACTCAGCTTGGACAACCAATGCGGATGCACCGCCACAACCGTTGCACACAGCAGCCAATCCCAGGCAGCTAGATATGAACCAGCAGTCAAGTATTCTCATAAACTGGTACTCACTCGGCTTGGACGACAAGGGCAGAAGCGCCGCCGCCACCGTTGCACACAGCGGCCACTCCCAGGCAGCTAAACATAACTCAGCAGTCAAGTATTCTCATAAATTGCTACTCACTCAGCTTGGACAACCAGGGCGGAAGCACCGCCACCGCCATTGCACACAGCAGCCACTCCCAGGTGGCTAAACAAATGTCAGCAGTCAAATCTTCTCATAAACTGCGACTCACTCTGCTTGGACGACCAAGGCGGATGCACCACCGCCGCCATTGCACACAGCAGCAACCCCCACCCGCCCCTCATGCTTCCTGAGAACGCCCAGCAGTGTGACGACAATGCGAGCCCCACTGCTCCCCAGGGGATGCCCCAGCGCCACCGCCCCCCCATGCACGTTCAAACGCCCCTCGGGAATATCGAGCAGCTTCTGATTCGCCAGAGCCACCACCTGGAAGGGCAAGTGGGGGTGTGGGTTGGGTGAGGAGGGTGAAGTGCGGTGGAATGCGGTAAGGAGGGACTCAGTGTGCATTTTAGGGGATGCCCCAGCGCCCACTGCCCCTCCATGCACGTTCAGACGGCTCTCGGGAATACCCAGCAGCTTCTGATTCGCCAGAGCCACCACCTGGAGGGGCGGGGGCGGACGGGGGTGTGGGACGGGTGAGGAGGGTGAAGTGAGGTGGAGTGCGGTGAGGAAAGATACAGCGGGCATCGTAGGGGATGCCCCCGGGCCACTGCCCCCACATGCACGTTCAGTCGCTCCTCGAGAATACCGAGCAGCTTCTGGCTTGCCAGAGCCACCACCTGGAGGGGCGGGGTGGGGGGTGAATGGGAAGGGTGAAGTGCGGCGGAGTGCGGTGAGAAGGGGACCGCCCCTTCATGCACGTTCAGGCGCCCCTCGGGAATAACTGATTCGCCAGAGCCACCACCTGGAGGGTGGGGGTGTGGGACGGGTGAGGAGGCCGAAGTGCGGTGGTGAAGTGCTGCCAACAGGTGACTGCCCCCACGCGTGAGTGAGCCTTTTAAGACGCCAAACCAGCAGCCCAGAAACTCACCGAGAATGCTTCGTTGATCTCCCAGTAACCCACATCGCTCTGCTCCATCTCTGCATGCTGGAGAGCCACGGGCACTGCGAGGGCGACTGTTGGGGCTACCCACACGACCAGCAACAAAAGTGACTCGAAACACACCGAAAAGGCTTCGTTGATTTCCCAGTAATCCACGTCGCTCTGTTCCACCCCCGCATGCTTGAGAGCCACGGGCACTGCGAGGGCGGGCGCTGTGGTGAAGCGGCTGGGTGCTTGCTCGGCGTCCCCGAAGCCGCGCAGCACTGCCAGCACGTTGAGACCGTGCTGCCTGGCAGCTTGACGGCTTGCCAACACCACTGCTGCTGCCCCATCGCTGGATGGAAGGGAAACAATGGTGTGGAAGGTGGAAGAAGGTGGGGAACACATGAGATAGATGATCGGAAGATTGAGGGATTTGGAGGTTTGGAGAACAGGGTTGGCTGGGTGCTTGCTCCGCGTCCCCGAAGCCCCGCAGCACTGCCAGCACGTTCAGCCCGTGCTGCCTGGCAGCTTGTCGGCTTGCCAACACCACTGCTGCTGCCCCGTCACTGAATGGAAGGGAAACGATGGCGTGGAAGAAGATGGGGAACATATGAGAAAGGTGATGAGAAGATTGAGGGAGATAGGGGTTTGGAGAACAGGGAACGGGGAATACGGGGTTGGGGGTTGGCTGGGTGCTTGCTCCACGTCCCCAAAGCCCCGCAGCACTGCCAGCACGTTCAGCCCGTGCTGCCTGGCTGCCTGCCGGCTTGTCAACACCACCGCTGCTGCCCCGTCACTGGTGGAAAAATGGGGACGACGAGTTGTGGTAGGGGAGCAGATGGGTAGGGATGGGGAAAAGGATAGGGGAAGGGGAGGCGTGCTTTGGTGGTGCGTGCAATATTATGCGTGCAATTCAAGTGTGTGGGAGCCAGTTGTATCTAATGAGGCTGCAACACTGCTCTTGAAGGGTGACTGTTTCAGAAAGACTGGAAGAGGAATGACGAGGAGTGGAAGGAAAGGGGGCAAGGGCAAAAGAGGTCTGAGTGAGAAGGAAGACGAAAAAGGACGGAGATGGAAGTATATTTTCTGTCATGATTACGTAAGTGATATTTTTAACTTTTAGGACTGAGTTTAACTCAGAGGTAATGCCAGCTGGCATACCTGATGGCTGAGGCGTTGCCAGCTGTGACAGTGCCGTTCTCCTTGAAGCATGGGCGCAGCAAGCGAAGCTTGTTGGCGTCAAACTGGCCGCGGGATGGGAAGGAGAAAGAGGTAGGGATGGGAGCGAGCAGAGGGAGGGAGGGAGGGAGGGAGGAAGGGAAAGAATCAGTGGACTAGGAGGTTGGTGTGGTGAGTAGAGTCCACTATAGTAAATGCAGTTGAAGCATGGGCGCAGCAGGCGAAGCTTGTTGGCGTCAAACTGAGGGAGGAAAGAGAAATAGAGACGCACAGGAGGCAGGCAGAGGGAGGGAGGGAGGGAGGGAGGGAGGCCGGTTGGTGTGGTGGGTAGACGTCTAAAAGGTATAAATGCGCCTGAGTCGATTTTTGTGGCAAGCATTGGGAGGAACGAAGGGGTTGGGGAGGATCGCTAGGCAGAGGAGTGAAGCAAAGACCCTGCCACTCGTCCTTCCACACACCAAACATCCCTTCTATCCGTTCCCAAAGACCTACCTTGGCACACGGTTCATCCCTTTCCACAAGAATGGTTTGCTTTCCCTTTGACGCCTTGACCTCCACCTGAGACATGGAACGCAGGGGAGGGGAAGTGTAGGGGGTGAGGGGGGGGGAGGTATAGGAGGTGGGGTGGGGAGGAAGGAACAAAATTGTAATAACCAACTTCTAGTCTACGCCTCCACCTGAGACACATTCTCTCATGCACATTCACGCACTCCCTAACACGCTCCCTCACACTCACTGACTCATGAATGCCCTCACGCTCTTCCTCCTTCATTCCCACCCATTCCCCTCCCACTCACGCACAGGCACGATCTCCCAGTCAAATGCGCAGTCAGCATGAGCAGCAGCGGCCCTCTCAATCTCCACTGCACCGCACCCAAACCCCCCTTCATTCACACCCCCACCCACTCACGAATTCCCTCTCTGACTCTCCCGCTTTCACTCCCTCCCACCCACCCACTCACGCACAGGCACAATCTCCCAGTCAAACGCGCCGTCGGCATGGGCAGCAGCAGCCCTCTCGTGCGTGGCAGTGGCATGCTCGTCCTGTTGCTCCCTCCTTCCTTCACACCACCCACCCACTCACGCACTCCCTCAAACTCTCCCCCCTTCACCCCAATCC